CGTAAATGTGTTCGTAATTTTCGTCTAATCAAATTTATCAACATTATTTATTTTTCCTTTTTTATATGTTAGGCCCAACATGTAATTGAATTGTTGGGCCTACAAATCACTCGAATTCTGATAGTCTGACTAATAGTTAAGGGAAATTAACAGCCCATTAATAGCCCAATTATTATCAAATTTGTTTAAAATTATAGTGTCACGAGTATTGTCGACAAAAACAAAAGAGAGTTTTCCATGGTTTTTACAGCTATTTTTATTCAGCGTAACAATTTCATATCAAAAGAACAAGAGTAGAACGAATCAAAATCAATTCACTAGTTAAAACTATTCTTTCCAATTCATAAGAACCAAAACTTCATGGATGAAAACGATGAGAATCTAAGAAAAATAAGGAAACTTTTAACGAATTGTATCACTGTTTTGCTTCAAAGAGCTATTGAATCGTTTAACACCAACATGTACTTAGTAAGGGAAGAAGAAAGGAAAAGAATCAAATCTAATTGATTATAGTGAGAAATCTTAAGCACGTTCTCCACGAATCCTCCTCGCAAGCTGAATATCCTTAGGCATGATCGTAACCCTCTTCGCATGAATCGCACAAAGGTTAGTATCCTCGAACAATCCAACCAGATAAGCTTCAGCCGCCTCTTGAAGTGCCAAGACCGCGTGGCTCTGGAACCTAAGATCCGTCTGCAAATTCAATTCACAAAACCAATCCAATAAGAAACACTTAAACCTAATTCCACCAATATCAAACTCTTTGATCCATAGGGTTTAGGTTTATGAGAACAAGAGAAATCAAAAAGAGTAGAATTTTTATTACCTTGAAGTCTTGGGCGATTTCACGAACGAGACGCTGGAAGGGAAGCTTACGGATAAGCAATTCAGTGCTCTTCTGGTACTTACGAATCTCACGAAGAGCGACGGTTCCGGGCTTGTAACGATGAGGCTTCTTGACTCCTCCGGTGGTCGGAGCAGATTTCCTCGCCGCCTGTGTTACGAATTTCGTTAGCAAACACAATCATAAACTCAAAATCAGAAAACCCTTAATCCCCTTTTCATCAAAACTCGAAATTGAAAAACCCATCATCGATTTCGTTCATCAAAACTCGAAATTCAACCCGATTTTTGTAAACCTTAGATCCCCTTTTCACCGATTTTGTTAATGAAAAACTGGAAATTCGCCCCCAATTTGAAAAACCCAAGATCCGTAAGAAAGAAAAAGATGAAAAGAACAAACCTTAGTGGCAAGCTGCTTCCTGGGAGCTTTTCCTCCGGTGGATTTCCTAGCGGTTTGCTTCGTACGAGCCATTGTTGTCTTCTCGAAGATTCAACTTTTCCGAAAGAGAGAATTTAGAGGGATTATACAAAAAGCGAGTTTTTCTTGATGAGGAATACTTGATGGTTATTATAAGTTTATATTATTATATAGGGAGGTTTAGTCGGTTAATTTTGGGAAATACAGAAGCAGTACGATGTTGACATTATTCGACGGTCCAGATTCGGTCGATGAAAGAAAAAACTGACGTGGCGATCCGCGTCCTTTGCTTCTGATTGGCTTAATTCTCGATTGGATTGATGACGTGGACATTTTGTGTTTCTTTTCTTCGTCTGTACTTGAATCATTCGTTGTTGATTGGCATTATGGGCCGAAACCGTAATTATTGAGCTTTTAGTACATTAAACGCATGGACAGTTGAGTACACGCCCAAAAGTAAAACTGTTATATTGTCAAAAGGCACAAAGCGTACTGATGCGACCCAATTGGTCCGACCAATCCGAAATTTATCATATGATAGTATCATAG